TTGGACATCCATCTCTGTCTTTCTCCTGCTGTGTACACTCTTTGCAGTAGTAGGCATCTGAGATTCCTACTCCTCCACAGATCACACACCGCCCTTGGAAAGACCCGTAATTGCATTCATCACAAACCCGAACGAGAGTACAGGGACGGACATAAGAATCACATATTACACACTTCCCGTCGCACTTCTCACAAAGTCGGCCAATGGCGATTCCTGGCTGCTTTCTGCACATAATCAAATCGGGATGATGCTTGGCCATGCTTTTTGCAACTGCAACAGTCTTTCAAGTTCCTGTCAATTTTGTAACCTGCAGATGGATTTTCAAACCTGAACTTTTAGAATTAACTTCATGCACCCCACCAAATGAAATCTTAAACACAAATAAACGATTAGGCATATGAATTAAGCCACACAAAAAGGATGGAAGAGTAGCAACCCCTAGTGTTTGTAAATATGATCTCATCGAGCTTCTCGCCACAAGCAATGAGACCGTTTTTGTATTAAGTCACAATTGAGTAAGAAACCATTTTGGTCGTATTGTATCCAACTAAAGCAAATAAGAACAGATTCAAATGACTGATGTATATCATTAGAGTCCCTTGATATTTGGTCAATGAAGCTCAAGCACAGGCTAAATATGATACATAGCTGCACAACAGCAGATTAGAATCAAACTTCAAATTTCACTCTTCTTATGAAGTGTGAGCCCTCACATCGGTTGGAGAGGAGAACGAAGTATCCTTATAAGGGTGTGGAAACCTCTCCTTAACAGACGTGTTTTCAAACCTTGAGGGGAAACCCGAAAAGGAAAGTCAAAAGAAGACAATATCTACTAGCGGTGGGTTTAGGCTATTACAAATGGTATCAAAGCCAGACACCGGTCGGTGTGCCAGCAAGGAAGCTGGGCCCCGAAGGAGGTGGATTGTGAGATCCCATAACGGTTGGAGAAGGGAACGATGCATTCCTTCTAAGGGTGTGGAAACCTCTGCCTAACAGACGCGTTTATAAAACTTTGAGAGGAAGCCTAGAAGGGAAAGCCCAAAGAGGACAATATCTGCTAGCGATTAGCTTAGGCTGTTACATAAAGCTACTACTTTAAAAGAAACTAACAAATTTGCATCCTAAATATGATATATATTCACAATGAAGTTGGAATTTCCCAAACAACTAGTAAATAATTTAGCTAAAAACTTGATAAAATTATTGGCCAACTGTACTTCCATCCCTGAACATTTAAAGTGCATGCTGACATGCAAGGATAAACAAAGCCCACTCAAACAACTAGTAAATAATTTAGCTAAAAACTTGATAAAATTATTGGCCAACTGTACTTCCATCCCTGAACATTTAAAGTGCATGCTGACATGCAAGGATAAACAAAGCCCACTTAAGTATATATGGAAAACACAATCGAAGCTAAAAAGATATAAGCTAGATGATGTGTCTAGTGAATTTCACTACAAGCTATCACTGAGGAAGGAAATGAATTTGGTTGTTTGAGCCTTCAAGAATTTTAATCACACAAAAATGGAGGAATGGCTCTTCCAACTAGAGTCAACTTCATATCGAAATGCACCTATATAAATTGAAAGATGAAATTGAGCAAAGTAAATTGAGAAAAAATAAATGTGAGCATTTCATGACAGAAAATGACATGTAGAACTCTTGAATGCGAGCAAGGTTAAAAATTAGAAACTTCTCTTGTAATTCCTGCTTTCCATGTTTGGTCCGTTACCTTGGATCGAATCCTGTCTAAGGGGTCTATGGTAATCAGGCCATTTTGTTAATTTTTTTGTAAGAGGGCAACTAAGTTCTTATTTTTGGGTTCTTTTCCAACCCATATCGTAAAACATGTTGAGCCAAATCTTGGTTCATGTAAAACCTACTTTATTTAGATCGGAAAGATCAAACGATTTTACGAAACCATGTGCTATGGCTTGAATACGTAGTCAATCCTATTTATGATGGGAGAAGTTGACAATTGAATCCAATTTTACCCATTATTTTTCATAGGAAGGACCTGGACCATATATTGTTTTACATGAATTTCATGAATTTCCAATCGCCCTGTTGGGAGGAGCTCATAGAATAAAGTGATTGGTTCATTCCCATTTAACTGAACGATTACTCCTAATGAACAATTGAAAAATATGTCTAGAATCATGTTTGAAATCAGATTTGAGTTTCTCAGTGTTTGATTCGTATTCCAATCAATAATATGTCTGGATTCATGTTCTTATTTCCATAAATTCAAAGTATCATTGGTTACTGCATTGGTTAATTGAGGGAGAGAATTTCAATTTTCAAATAAGCAAAACTCATATACAAATCAAAATAAGGTTAATCAATCAAGCTAGGAATGAAAACAGAATTAGATGACTGATTTATGTCCGAATCAGAACAGCTTGCCGCTAGGCTGTTCTATTCATTAGACAAGTCCTAATTTGTGTTTTTCAAGTGAGAAGAAAGACATAGATGGAGATCGGAAGAATACCGGTAACAATGCAGTAGAAAAATCAGCGGCAAGACTGCTAGGAGGGAGGCTGCTGCAGCGGCGGCAACACTGAGCTTCTGAAACGGAGGAGGAGAGGGCGGGGAGCACGGATGAAAGAGTTAGGGCTTTACTCTTTTTTTTCTTTTTTTTCTTTTTTTGGCTAATTAATAAAATGCCTTAAAAATTTGCCATTATTTCAAAAATACAATAATATCCTTAAAAAAATTTAAAATATATCTTTTAAAAAATAACTTCTTGAAAAAAAAACACTTTAATTATATATATACACATATATGATGCTTCCTTGAAGCTTCATGATTGAAAATGATATAACCTCAAGATATGCCCAATTTGTTTATTAAAACTTAAAAAAGAACATTGAAATTAAGAATCTTTCCAACGTTATGTCTTATCCATTTGGTTCCTTCAATTTGGCATAAAAAAATAATCTTAGGTTTTGTTGTTATGTCTTCAAATATGAACGCATTATAAACGTAATATAATTGATTAACACGTGTATCTAGAGATTAAAATATGTTTAATTTATAGATTTTCACTCTTAATACATATATTTAGAAATAACCATCTAAATGGAACATCGGAACAACATCGACAATGATATCGATGAAAAATTGCTACAGCGAAATGGTGTCGATGGGAGGTACGACGTATCGCACAGAAAACCTTATTCATAAGAGGATTGTGGATGAAGTGACAAAGGACACGAGGAAGACAAGTATTTGTTGGACATCATAATGTCGTTTGAGCTACTTCAATAGTGATTTGAGCCTTTAACAAAGGGATAATCCGGATAGATCAGTTGATCATAGTCATTCGTGAGTTCCTGACCTACCTAATACTTGGGCAAGTAATTTACAATATTCCTTATGCCCGATAGAATTCGCGAAGAAATAGATGGTTTTATCATTAGTTGAGATGAAACATGGTAATACAAAGGTGAAACTAGATACGTTCATGTAATTGGTAGCGTCGAGGCGTTGTAGGGACTACCTAAATGCGGCAATAAATTAGAAGGGAGAAGGAAGAGATTTTTTTGTCTATTAGCTTAATAGGGCTGAGAACGAGGGTGACATTATATTTCGATCTTGCCCCGTCCGGTCACCTTGCCTTTATATATACATATACATACACATACATACATATATACATACTTAATAAATATTTTTTTAATAATTATTGTATAAGACAAAATAAATAAACAATTAAAATCAATAAATTGGAACGGGAGGGAAAAAAATATATAATTAAACTTCTAATTTTGTTCAGATAAAAAATTAGGAACTAAATTTATAATTATTAAATTTATTTTATTTTAAAATTCAAAAGAATTATATCATTTGAATAAAATATAGATGATAATTAAATTATTATTTGGTAAAATAACTTCAAATTGATTAATAATTTAAAATTAAATGTAAACACATATTTGTATTTATCTGTATTTCAGATATTTTCCTAAATTTCCTAATCAACCCTGAGAAGAAAATAATTAACACAAAACGCAGCGTTGCATGTGATAGAGACGTTGGTACATGACGTGTTCTCCAACGGTCGCCTTAAGGAAAAAATCAAAATACTTGAAATTACAAAACAGCCCCTTCCTCACGAGTCATTGGTAACGGTAACTTCCCAGAACTCTCCTGAACTCTGATCTTTAGGCCCACCATTGCTCACACCTTCAGTTTTTTTTTCAAGTCAAGAATTAATTGAATCCCACTTTTGAAATTTTTATGATTTTTGACTTCTTTTTATCCACAATTACCTTATTGCCCTCCTATTTCTAAACACTATTCCATTTTTACCCCTAATATTCCCTCTCTTACTCCAAACAACGAAGGATAGTGATGGAAACGGGAGGAGAAATCTCTTTCTATTCCGAGTTTAACCAAGGATTCCCCCGGCCTTAAACGAACATCTCTAAACAACGAAGGAATACTTAGTACCAGACATTGATCTTTTGGTCTCTCATACATCAAACCCGACACAAAATTAGCAGCCACGGTATGACGACACTCGAAATTCATTAACTTTCAAGGTTCATTATCTACACTTTTTACCGAGTATGCCCAATAAATTTTCAACGCGTACGATAATTAAGTCGGCACACGTCCATAGTTTCAATACCTTAATGCTTAAGGTGTAGATACTGTTTTCACTGTTTGGACTTAGTCATCCTACATTGAAAAAGACACAAATGTATCATATGTAACATGTTTCTTTATTTTTCTTTCTTAATAAATGGAAACGACAATACATTATGTTCTTTGGCTGCCGACTCGACTATATCCCTTGACTTAAGTCAGAAACCAAAAGCATAGAGGGGCAAATTGGGTATTTCACATGGTGTGAAAAAGAATATTTAGTCAAAATGCGTTAAAAATGATCCAAATCCACCTGGCCCACCCCCCGCTATGAACACGCGCTGACCCATTCCCCATTTATAGTCCCGTTTATCTTTTCCCATTTTTTCGAAATCTAAATTAAATCCCTTAAATTTCAATTTCATTTGAAGAAAATTTCACTTCTGGGTGTTTGATTTTCTCTGTGTTCTTGAATTTGGGTCTTTCTTTTGGAAGATGTCGGTCTCCGTCGCGGTGTCCAACTCGCCGGGATTTTCCCCTTCCTCCTCGATGTTCTGCAACAAGACGTCGATTATTTCTCCGGCGCCGGAGGCGCTGACACTCACTTTGGCTCATTTGAATTCCTCGTCTTGCTCTTCTTCGCCTTCTTCGCCTTCTTCCCCTTTTCGGATTCGGTTTCCGAAGCCCCCTTCTGGGCTTTCCGCAGCGGCGGTGGCGGTGGCGGTGGCTTCCACCTCTTCTCCTTCATCGGCGTCGTCCGGCGCGATATTGAAAAGAAAAAGACCGGCGAGGTTGGATATTCCGTTGATGCCGTTGAGTTTTGCGGCTCCGGTGATGCCGTCGCCGTCGTCGTTCAGGGAGGTCGTGGAGGCAGAGAGAGATGGATACTCTGTGTATTGCAAGAGAGGGAGGCGGAGAGTTTCCATGGAAGATCGGTATTCCGCCGTCGTTGATCTACGAGGAAATTCCAAAGAGGTAAAAATCGTTTAAGAAATTCGATTTTTAGAGGATTTCTGGGTTATGGGGCTTAATTTTGTCTTGTTGTTGTCGATTTTTCAGGCGTTTTTTGGTGTTTTTGATGGACATGGCGGCGCAAAAGCTGCAGAATTTGCAGCAAATAACTTAGAGAAGAACATTTTGAATGAAATTGAAACAATGGCTGATAACGACACTGATTTTGAAGAAGCCATTAAACATGGCTACCTCACCACAGATTCTGAGTTCCTCAAGGAGGATCAACGCGGTGGCTCATGTTGTGTGACAGCCCTGATCAAGAAAGGCAACCTCGTCGTCTCCAACATCGGTGACTGTCGTGCTGTTCTCAGCAGCCATGGCGTTGCTGAGGCTATCACGTCGGACCACCGCCCGTCCCGGGAAGACGAGAGGCAGCGGATCGAGGCCACGGTAAGAATTGAAATGGTAGATGATGACGACGATGACGACGACTACGATTGAACTGAATTTGGTGGCTTTTGTGTTTGTTGCAGGGTGGATATGTTGATATGTGCAATAATGGGGTTTGGAGAGTTCAGGGGTCTCTAGCTGTCACAAGAGGAATTGGGGATGCTCACCTCAAACGATGGGTGATACCTGAGCCCGAGACGAGGGCGATTCGTATCGAGCCTCGACATGAGTTCTTGATCTTGGCCTCTGACGGATTATGGGATAAGGTAAGCAATTCTAGTACACTCGTTTTAAAACCGTAAGAAAAATGACCAAAACATATCATATCTACTAGAGTTGGGCTTAAACTGTTACAAATGGTATAAGAGCTAGACACTCGGAGAGAGAAACGAAACATTCTTTGTAAGGGTGTGGAAAACTCTCACTAGTAGAAGCATTTTTAAAATTAATGGTCTAAAATAGACAAAATATCTAGTAGCGGTGGACTTGAATCGTTACAGAATCAAACCCGTTCGATCAAACGATTGTGATCGTATTGAGTTGTTTGGTGGGTTTTGTTTTTTTCAGGTGAGCAATCAAGAAGCAGTGGAGATTGCACATCCATTGTGCGTAGGGACTGAGAATGCGCAGCCATTGGTGGCGTGTAAAAAGCTTGTGGAGCTATCAATTTCAAGGGGCTCAGTTGATGACATTAGTGTAGTACTCATTCAATTGCCTAACTTCATCTAAGTGATATCAATTCTTAAATGTACTAACGAATTTTGTATCTCTGTTGAGTTTTGTTAGTACCGATCATATTCTTTTGTATTTATCCCGCCAAATTTTAATAATATTCATTTTCATATCATCTCGAGATTTAACCTTCTTATCAACTGAGCTATACTTAATTTTGCTTCCCACCAGAAGCTTTATCCTTGTTGATAGGACATCATGCATGTTGCCATGTGTGTAGTTGTTGCTGTTATAGAACACCATGCATGTTGCTCACTTGTTGTAGTAGTTGTTGTTGAGTTTCTTAATTCCTCCAACGATTTGAAAATCACTCGTCGTTTGTTGCTTTATCCAAAACGAGGTCTAAAAAAAATTTATGGAAGCAACTAATTTTATAAATTAGACAAGTCCATGGTTCAATTAAGGGAAAGGATGATAACGATCTTAGAGTGACAAATGTTATATGAACACGACTCTCCACAATGTTAGATGACTTTGGTTTGAGCTTCCCAAAATGCCTAATACTAATGGAGATTTGATTATAAACCTAGAATCATTCCCTAAATTAGCCGATGTGGACTTTCATCCAACCACAAATACACAAATTATGCCTAACTAAAGCAAAACGTCTTGAGTCGTTTCAAAATGGTTGACTAAAAGTACTAGTTTTATGACGACAAGTTCATGGTTCGATTAAATTAAATGACGATAACGATCATAGAGTTATAAAGACTCGTTTTAGCAACATAATGGAATAATAGTGTTTTAAGTATATATATATATATATAAACAAACGAGAATCGAAGTGAAAGTTCGAAGCAAGAGAAGTGGGAAACCAATTATTTTATTATTTAATTTTAAAAAATTTGAAAAAGTAAAGAAAATATGCTGATTTTGAGTCAACGCGTTCTTGAATTCTTCAAATCCATTAATTTTAATTTAATGCGTCTTTTGTACTTTCATTCTTTCGCATTACTAATTCCAATAAATAAATAAATAAATATATATAGTATTTTTTAACACGTTTTTTTCTGAAAATTTGGAGCTACACATTTAGAAATAAGCTATAATTTAAAGTTTTTAAAAAATATTGCGTGTTACTTAAACAATATATTTAATTTTAAAATAAACAAATTCATTTAAAATAGTTTACAATCTACAATATAAAATGAAAGTTCAATAGCCTCGTAGCTCGTGATGTTATTTGTGTTGGCCATTTGATCTAAGCTTCATTTGAAAAAAAAGATTAAAATAGCATAGATTAATTCGTTCTTAAAGTCTGGTGTTATTAGTTGGTTCGATGTATTTAGAATTTGTTTTCAATTGAGGTTAATTTTGAACTATATGGTTGGCAGGCGGTGAGAAGGTGTTGGTGTGAGGCAGCGTTTAGAGATGTCCACGTGGCTTTCTCGTTCCCATCCTCGCCCCCTATTTCATTCTTCATCCCTGCAAAAGTTCGCATTTATTATTGCGGGGATGAGGTTAAATGTAAAATTTTTTCTTCTATTATTTTAAAGTTTTCATTTTTTTTTAGTGTAATATTTGTTAAGTGTGGAATTGGGAGGGTAATACTGTCCCCGACCTCATTTATCTAACAAGAAAAAAACGTTCTCCTCTTCCTCCCCCATTTCTTGGATAAACGAGAAATTCTCTCTAAGTTCGGGGTGGGTCTCCGTGGGGTCCCACTTCCATGGGTAAAATGGATATGTCTAGCAACGACGAGCTATCGAGAAGAAGAAGAGAGAAGGGTATAATGGGAATATGGGAAATAAGAGGGGTAGAAGGGGAAATGGAGGGGACAAGTTCGAAATATTTAGAGTTTGTAGTAGACATAAATGTACTTAGTGGATAATTGGTATTTTATTTTAAAAATATAGTTATTATTAAAATTTGTTGAAGTTTTTATTTTTATTTTTAATTTTTTTTAAGGGTATTATTATATTCGAGATCAATAATTTACTTGAAATACTTGAAATGAGTTTGAAACCCTAAAAATGTGTAGATTTATTTGTTCCAACTCCAAGTGAAGTTCATCTTCATTACCACTTCTCCCATATATAAACCCTACTTTCTCCGCCCGCTTTCTCCCCATTCCGATCTGTATCTTCCAATCTCGCCGTCCACTTTCTCAACCAACCCTAAACCCTCATCCATGGCGAGCGCCGATACCGAACGCAGAGAAGAGGAGGAGGCTCCGGCCGCAGAGGATGAAGACACTGGAGCACAAGTCGCCCCAATCGTTAAGTTGGAGGAGGTCGCCGTTACCACCGGTGAAGAAAACGAAGACGCTATTCTCGATCTGTAAGCTTACCTCATTACTTGTTTTTTTTTTTTGTTTGTTTTTTCTATCGGATTTGCTCAGCCTAGGTTTTAAGTCGGATTTGTTTCATATTCGTATTCGTTGTTTTAGGAAATCCAAACTGTACCGATTTGATAAAGATGGAAACCAGTGGAAGGAGAGGGGTGCTGGTACGGTTAAGTTTTTGAAGCATAGGGAAACTGGAAAGGTTCGCCTTGTTATGAGACAGTCTAAAACCCTCAAGATCTGCGCTAACCATCTTGGTTCGTTCTCAATTCGCTGCTTGTTCCTTCGCTTATATATCAAGCTCCTTTTAGTTTAGGGTTTTTGTTACTTTCTTGGTTTTGGTGGTGTTCTTCATTTTTATTGATTGATTTGTTGTGATTGTAGTTCTTCCATCAATGTCGGTTCAAGAGCACGTTGGAAATGACAAGTCGTGCGTGTGGCATGCCACTGACTTTGCTGATGGTGAATTGAAAGATGAGCTTTTTTGTATCAGATTCCCATCTATTGAGAGTGAGTACAACTCCGATTTTTTTTTTTTTTTTTCTCTCTGAATCTTTGCTGTTGATTTACTGATAGACTCTTCTAGACTTTGGATATATTGATGTCTGGCAGTGGGCAATGTTCGTATTAAAGATCGTTCTTATATTGTTTCACGTTTTGTGTTTTCTTTTCCACTCCAAAACAAATTATATGCTTGAGCTCTCTAGTTGTCTCTGGTTTGAAGTACCACTAGGATAATTCTTTTCATTGACAGTACTTGGTTCTACTGATGGTATAGTACAGTTTTAATCAGTTCATGATGGTAACTTTATCCATGAAACTTCACTGCTCCGCTTATTTTTACTGATTGTTGCTCCAAATATGAATATATTTCTTTTCATTTTCGTTAACATTTGTTTTTCCTATTAAAAAAATGGGGAAGTTCTCTGTTCAGACATCCATCTCTGTTAGTATACACAGTTTCTTCAAGTATCTAATTCTGCAAGTGTTAACTTTGTAAGTCAGTTGTGGTGGTGGTAATGGCAGAGTTGGAGATCGGTGCCTGAAAAGGATTGTAGTATAGGATTGTTATTTTATATGGTGATGGTTGCTAATAAAATTTGGTAGGATAAAGTAGGTAAAAAGGTGAGTGCTTTCGTTGATGTATACTTAGCTGTAATTTTATTTCAGAGGATCTTAGTAATGAAAACCAGTAGAAAAAATGGTGGAAGATGTTAATTGTATGGAAGGAAATTTCATAGTTAACAATTATCGGTTGCTGCTGTTGCCCTTTGAGTTGTGTAACTGATATATTGTACGTTCAATGTTTCATTTCTAGTGTATTTGAAATGCGGAAAGATGGCTGTTCCCTTTTGTATTTCACAGCAGTTTTAGCTCATTTTATAACTTTTCCATTTCTTTTAACTACTCAACTGTCTTTTACCTCTCCTGTTTTAGGGTCATTTAGTCCAAAATATTTTCAAATTTCTAGTTTTGGCTTGTTTTTATCGTCTCTAGACATTCTTAGTGTCATCTATTTCTCCCTTAGTGTCTTGCTTGTATTTGGGGTCTGTATCAGAGGTAGGTTTGAATAAACTGAAAGGTAGAAATTCCAGGACTTACCAATGCATACTTGTTTCCCATGGAACAGCTATAGAGCTTATAGAGTCAGCTTGGCTTGAAATGTTGCAGCCTTTCCCCCCATTAGATATGAAATATTTTCTTTGTACTACATACACTGCAAAACCTTCATGGAAACACCAAAGAAGTCCTCTAGTCCCGAAAGACAGATAACTTATTAATTGTGCTTGTCCACTTTTTTCCGTCTTGGTTACACTTTTCTTTTTGGTATTATTAGACTGCAAGACCTTCATGGAAACATTCCAAGAAGTTGCTGAGTCCCAAAAGAAGAAAGAGGAAAATAAAGATGCATCTGCAGCAGCTGGTCTACTTGAAAAATTGAGCGTTGAAGACGAAAAGAAAGCCGAGAAAGCTGAAGATAAATCTGAAGATAAAGCTGAGGACACACCTGTAAAATCTGAGGAAAAGGGTAAACCCGAGGGCGAGGCAGAGAAATCAGATGCAGAAAAGAAAGAGTAGAGAGCCTGTTTCGCCTGCCAAGGCATATACGGTAGCTCCTCCTCTATCGGATATATCTACAATGAGGTGTTTGACCTCCCATTCATCCATGTCTCTTGGTACATTAAAACAGTCAATTCTTGGATTGGTTGGTTGACTTTTCTGGGCTGGGAAAATGAGAGTCGTCTAAATAGTAGTTTGTTTGGTCAGTTGGTCGGTTGGGGGAGTCGGTTTTCTATTGTTCTCCCTCCTTTCATTTGAAAATGAGATTGATTTGGAGTCAGTGTTGTGTGGTGGTGGGCGTGTTTGTGAATCCTCCAAGGTTAAATAGCATTTTTAGAATACGAACAAGTTTGTGTGCAGGGCAGAGATATTTATAGTTGTTTTTGGTTGAGGAAAACATGATTGATTGGTTGTGTTGTGGTCTTATTATATTATTCAAGTTCTATAGCTTTACTCTGGGCTGCTTTCTATTTATATTGGTTTGTAGATGATTGTGTTCTTTGAGATTGATGGAAACAGGTTAATAGTTTATTTATTTATAGATCTCAATCAATGATGGAAATGAAAGATGGAAAGAGGTTTTTTATTGAGTAATATTTTGTTTTGTTGTGGTCATTAAAATCTGAATTCACAAACAATTAGTAGTCTTTTCTCTGTCGAACCTGTCACTATCTGTTATACAAATTTGTTCTCCATTATTCTGCTCTCCATACTTGCTTCTGCTGCCATTTGCTTTTCACAGTAACATTATTGTCGATTCTTTTGCTCTCCATACTTGCTTCTGCCTGCACCATCATACAAGTAAGGAGTGGAAGAGAAGAAAATATCAGCATTTCGTAGTTCCAATGGAACTCTGTCCTTATAAAACGTTTGTTCGAAAGTATGGTTTCGATTTTGTCACAAAATTGCGCTTTATGTTCAATTGACTGGAAAACAAACATATCATCTATAGAAGAAACACGCAATGATGTCAAATTTTAGTCAAGCAGCACAAACTATACGAGTAAATAATAAATATTATGTCTTTCCCAAACCCGCTTGAAATTACCTGTTTGTAATAATTGTCTATAATGAACCACCTACTTGCATTCAACGCTACAAAGAACGTAAAATAAACCCTACCGATTCTCGGTTCACCAACAATAAGAACATGAAAGAGAATTAATTTATGGAGATCAGATAGTGAGTGGTCAGTAATTATGTCAAATAAAAAGATGTAGAGAATTAATTTTGGATATAATGTAGAGCAAATAGAGAAATTGGTCCAACTAGCCTTGAAAATAATGGATGGAAAAGGAAAATAAAAATAAAAGTTAGAATCCTAAATCCCACATCGGAAAGTAAATGGGGGAGGGACTCAAAAACGTCTATAAATAAGACCTCATGCCCCCTTTTATTCGGAACAAACCATCTGTGAGGGGTAGAGCAAATTCATCGTGCAACCTTCTGCAACCGAAAACCACAATCCTCTGATAAACAGCCAATCATCAACTTCTTATTTGTCGTCAATCTTGTGTTGGATACCATAATTTGGTAAATTCTTGATCCATGGACTGGAGGAGTGAGTCAGTGACCAAACAATCCAGAAATTGTGGTTTCTGGATTGTGAATTTTTGGGGGTTTTGGTAACAAGTTGATGCATTTGTTTGTTTCAATCTCAATTTGATCTTTGCCTTTGTTCTTTGATTCTGTTTTATTTATTTATTTATTTTTTTTTTTTTTTTTTTAACTGATTGATTGTGGGATTTTGAGTCCGAGAGAAAAGAAGGTTCAAAGATGGAAGCAGCATTTGCCCTGTGGCTGCGCTCATGGAAATTCCATTTTTAGATAAAAGCCTTCTTGATTAAATATTTTACTTCGACCATTCTAACTTCCGACAAACACATCGAATGGATTACCAATTTCGTATGCGGCCATTTCAATCCAATTCTGTAGGCTACCTAAATCAAATTGCAATTCTCTCTGTTATTTTTAAGCGTTTTATTTTCTTCCAACGACTTTCCTCTCTCTTCCCTCTTCTTGGCAAACGATTTCCTCTCACACCAGAAAAGGATTTCCCTCTACGAAAAAAACCAGTGGAAGCCATGTGGTATATCATTGCGGAAGAGCTAATCTTATCAACAGTTAAGTTGAATAGCTTAAGTGGTTAGAGCGTCGACTTAATAACACACAGGTCTCAGGTTCAAGTAGAAGAAAATGCAAAGGCACCCTGGGAGCCAATTCAATTGAAGAATGCTCAAATCGGTGAAAGAGGCGAGCAGCAAGAGCACTGGCGATGAGTCCTCACAAGCTTCTGTGGCCCGAACCACGTGCGCAGCTTGTCTTGGGGCATTTACAGGTTTGTTGTTAAATTTTTAAACATACATCCTAAACGTTACTATCAATTCATTTGCTAGCCTTTGCGAATCAAATTGGTTTTATCACACACACGACAGAATGTGTTAAGAATACCATAAGCTTTTGGATATAATGAAAACTACATTACATAAGTTCTTCAATTTCAGACCATTGACTAGGAGAGCAGTTTGTTCCAAAACTAACATGTTCCCGGGGAGTTTTCAAAATAAGTTTCTGATACGACAGTATAACAAAACGGGCTTCCTCCAATATGGACCAATGTGGGCTTCAATCATGGGCTAATTTTGGCATCCATTATGGGTCACTTTGGGCTTCCAACATACCCACTTTGGGTTTCCACTATTGTTCGATTTGGACTTCCACTGTGTGCCATTTTGGGGCTCCACTGTGGGCCAGCAGATTTGGGCCACCACTGTGCACCGGCCGATTTGGGCTTCCACTGTGTGCCAGCAGATTTGGGCCACCACTGTGCACCGGCCGATTTGGGCTTCCACTGTGTGCCAGCAGATTTGGGCCACCACTGTGCACCGGCCAACTTTGGGCCTACACTGTGGGCCGGCCGATTTGCCCCTCACTGTAGGCCGAATTGGGCCTCCACTGTCGCGCAGACCAATTTGGGCCTCCCACTGTGGGCCGTCTGATTTTGGGCCTCTACTATGAGCGGAATTGGGCTTCCACTGTGGCCGGCCGATTTTGGGCCTCACTGTGGGCCGGCTGTTTTGGGCTTCACTGTGGGCCGACGAATTGGGGCGGAATTGGGCTTCCTCTTTGGGCCTCCACTGTGGGCCGACGAATTTGGTCCTCGCGATTTGGGCCTCCACTATGGGCCGCCTAATTTGTGCATCCACTGTGGGCCGTCTAATTTGGGCCTACAGTGTCATTCTTCCATCAAGTTTCCAATGAAAAGGAAGTGACAAAAGCAAAGCCACGCACCGCACAACAACTTCAAATAAAATACCACAAGACAGGACAAGACAAGACAAGCATCATATTTTTTCATCATCCGGAAGGCAAAAATCTCCGGCACTGAACAAACCAAGCAAAAATGTGTGTGTGTATATATATATATATATATATATATTGTCTTCTGCAAATTACTCACTCTTGTTTGACTTCTAACCTCTTTTGCAGCATCTTCAGCTCAGGTCCTCCTGCACACAGACTCCATACTATCCCTGAATGAATTCTAGAACTCCTTTCACCACACTACCCACTCCATTCGACATTGACAGTGACTCGAAATCTCATTTTTTTTAAAAGGAAAAGAAGAAATGGAAAGGGACTCCAACCAACCAAAGTACAATTTAGACAGACGACGACTCCCACTCTCTCCCCCACCCCAGAAAGAAATCCAACCAAGAACTGACTGACTATTATGTTTAAATGTACCAAGACAGACATGGATGGAAGAGAGGTCAACTTCTTCATCAAAATCTCTGATATATCCTCCTCCTCCCCCTCAGCAGGCTACTCATCATTCTTCTTCTCTGCATCTGATTTTTCTGCCACATCCTCCTCCTTAGTTTTCGAAGGTGTCTCCCCAGCTTTATCTTCACCTTTCTTTTCTTCAACACTCAATTTCTCGAGTAATCCAGCAGCAGCAGATGCATCTTTATTTTCCTCTTTCTTCTGTTGGGACTCGGCAATTTCTTGGAACGTTTCCATGAAAGATTTGCAGTCTGGGACAAATAGAGTATTTGTTACCAAGGGAATGTAAACCAACTATCTTTCTTAATATAGAATAAAAATGATAAGATGAACATTCAATATAAAAATCTTTACAAGTGCTAGAATTTTTATTTTATTGCAGTTCAACCACATGCGTGAGTGGGAGATTTAAACCTCTGACCTCTTGGTCAACGATTTATGTTTAACGACACTTGGGTGTGGTGTAGGTAGAATTTTTAGATTTTTAAAACGTAGATATGCCCCATATATCCACTGATCAGTTCCAGGACAATTAAAGGAAATAAGATTTGGTTTAAAATAACATTAAAATTAAAAAAGGAAAAGTAGTAAAATAAGTTGAGTTGAACAATAGAAAAGACAGGTAAAGAAATGAGAAACTGAATAAAGAACATGAATAGTGTCCGAGCGTCTAAATCTAAAAAAGTAATTGTGCATGCCCCAACATGCCTGTATCCAAACTAGAGAAAGTATGACTAACAAGATTTTTAGGAGCACAACTAATACAAATGAATGAAAGGTTAACTACAAAACTTTTTAACTTTTGTTAGTTTAGAAGTTGAAAGATTTCAAAGAAAATCTGATCTCTTCTATCATCATGAATTGATGACAAAGTACAACCACACCGACCCCAAAAAAGGAAAACGAATACTCCTTGATTTATCATTTATCTAATGCTCCTATCTCATCAAGAGTTGCAACGATAAGTAACCTAATTTAATTCCCATGTAAATTTGATTGACATATACTGATTGAAGACACAGCAATAAAAGATTATGATGAGTGGACATGGACGATCTCCTACAACAGGAGATAAATGATTTAAACTAATAAATCAAGGCAATTGAATTAGATGTCAGGGAACTTGATTTATCGTGAAATATGCTTATTAAATTGGTCTAGATAAACAATTTAAAACAACGGAATTATGACCATCCAAATCAAACCTATCCCAGGGAACGAAGAAAATCCCAATTGCTTCTTTCATTTCACCTTCCAATCCTCCTACTTTGCAATTGTCGCAATCCTCTAAAATCACAATAAGTACTCCAATTACCCACTTTAACAACTTAATTTAATTCTTTGTATGCCCCAAAATAAAATGCCAGTTCATCTTCCACTTTACCCACCTATCTCCTAAGTTGCCACCACAAAAATTTTCTCTAGTCACCATTAAAACCACTCTCCTCTTCGATCTCTTTTCCTAATCAAATCCTCTTAGAAAAATCTCATTAAATAAAATAAACTCTAACACTTTTTTCTTTTGGGCAGCCAAACTCCTACTCTGCTACTGTCATAATGTCACACACGAATCAGGATATCAGAATTTTCAGAATTAGATAACTAACAAAACCAAGCAATCCCTATCTTATTAAAAGAAAAAATGTCAGTTCAAATCCAAAGGATTATTATCAATGGTCAAGTCAAGAGGAAAAAAAGTGTTGACGAGGCCCAAGACAACCCTATATTATTACAATAAGACAACCCCTATCTTTTCCTTCTCCTTATGAATTATGTTTTTTTTTTTTTAATGAATAGTGAATTAGATAACTAGAGATTTTAGCAGTTCTATAAGGAGAAGGAAAAGACCACAACAACATGCCATACGATAGAACATCTATCATCTTTTTGATAATTCCCTGCTATCATGGATTCAGAATAAAACCAAAAACAAAAAAAGCCTCAAAGAATCCATCAGCCAGTCTAACCTGCAGCATAATTTCAGGGAAAAAAGTTGGAAAATTGTACTCACTCTCAATAGATGGGAATCTGATACAGAAAAGCTCATCTTTCAATTCTCCATCAGCAAAGTCAGTCGCATGCCACACGCACGACTTATCATTTCCAGCGTGTTCCTGAACCGTCATAGACGGAAGCACTACAAAAGCACAACAACCAAACAATTAACTATAGAACTCAAAGGAATTCAATTGGATGCCCATAAGGAATAAGGAATCGAGAACGAACCAAGATGATTAGCGCAGATCTTAAGCGTCTTAGACTGTCTCATAACAAGGCGAACCTTGCCAGTCTCCTTATGTTTCAAAAACTTAACAGTACCAGCACCCCTCTCCTTCCATTGATTTCCATCTTTATCGAATCGGTACAGTTTTGCCTTCCTAAAACAGTGAATAACCGGCGGGAAACAAATCACACTAACGAACCAAAACGTAAATTTGAGAAAAACAAGATTTAGATAGAGAAAAGCGTACAGATCGAGAACAGCGTCCTCATTTTCTTCACCGGTGGTAACGACGACCTCCTCCAACTTGACGATCGGGGCGACTTGAGCTCCAGTGTCTTCATCCTCGCCGGCAGGAGCCTCCTCAGTGTCTCTACGTTCGGAATCGGCGCTGGCCATAGATGAAGCTTTGTTATTGCAGAGAAAGGGATCGGAATTTGGGGGAAGGCAATGAAAGTGAGAGAAGAAAAGATTAGGGTTTTTATATAGAAGAAATAAAATAAGTGAGAATGAGTGAGAACCCACACTGCCCTCTTTGGATTTATCTTTTTAAATAAAATAAATAAATAAATTTGACAAATAACAGAACTTTAATTTAAATTATTAATTCCGTAATTAAAAAAATTTAAAATATGAATATAATTGAATTATTTTTAGTAATTTAATAATTAAAGATTTGTTTTGGTACGCCTTGGTTGAGCTGTGATTATTGTCTTTGAGTGACACAAACGTGATAGACCATGCACAAGCTACTAAGTCTTGGCTTTTAGCATTTTCTGTGGGCTGGCAGTCCTGGTTTTTCATGTTTTTTTTTTTTTTTTTTTTT